CCCCAAGGGGCACTCAAACTTCCAATGTCCCTTTTGTCTGCAGACTGGGCAAGGTCAAGTCGGTGGTCTGGGGTTGGGCATTGTTCTGCCCAGTGGCCTTCCTGGCCACTCCTGAAGGAGGCTCCCGAAGATGTTTGGGTCTCGGACTGTTTCCTGGGATGGGGGCTTTGAGGCCCCTATTAAGCCAGCCACAGGGAAGCGACCAGGGCTTGGGTTTGAAGGGCCACTTTCTGTTTTAGCCTCTGGGCCCGCACGGCCTCGGCTTTTTCCTCTCGGGCAGTATAAACTTTAAAGGCCATATTTACCAGGTCTCGGAGTGGAGTCTGGGGCCCTCCTCTGCCTTTTTAAGCTTGCGCCTGATGTCCAGAGTGGATTGGGTGATAAAGTGGGTAGCTAAGACTGTGGACCCTGGCGGTGAGGAAGGGTCCAAATGAGTGTGAAGGGTAAGAGTTTTTGTTAAACGATTAAGGAAAGAGGCTGGGTCTTTATTAGATTTCTGTGTGAGGTTTATCTGCTGGGTTGAAGTTAGAGACGGAGGAGGGAGGTGGCAGCGTAAGCGGGACGGGGAAGGGAGGGGAATCTCTGCCCACTTTTTTTGAACGCTTGTAGAAGTTATAGAGGTCCTGTATAATGTTGGGGTTTAGGGACCAGTAGGGGCCACTTATTTTGGTTGTCTAAGTGATGGGTAGGCCAATCTTGGGTACTGAAGCGAATTAAATGCTTGGGTTTAATATCGGGAGTGAGAGAGAATGGAGAGGTTGTCTAAGAGGCATTTGAGGGGCGAGTCGGCCAGCAGGGATGATGAGTTTCCCATTTTAACAGCTGGGGCTGAGCTGAGTGTCCCGTGGACAGCCGGCTGTTAGGATATGAGGAGGTTGCAATAAAGCCTGTCATCACAGGACGTTATTACAACCCGTGATTCTCCTGGAGAATCAAGGAGGTTGAGGGCAACCTGGTACCAGGATTTTTAGTGAAGAGGATGCCCAAAACCGGACGGTGGGAGGGAGCAGACTCGAAATTCCTGACGGCCGAGGGAGGGGAAAACCAGTCGGGGTTTGCTATGGCCTTAAAGACCTAGGCGGGAGAGGAGAAAACCAGTAGGGGTCTGCTGTGGCCTTAAAGACCTAGGTGGGGTGTGGTCCCCCCCTCGCCTGGGGCCGAAAGAGCTGCCGGACGATCAATGGTCAGTTTCTTCTGGTTATCCTGGGCAAGGTTTTAGGTTTTCCAGTTAGGGGCACTTACCAATCCAAGGGCTGGTGATGGATGCAGCGCTGGCGTTCAAGAAAGTGGGCGAAGGCCTTAAGGGGTGAGTCCCGCTGGTGCCGGAACAGGGTCTCGCCTGAGGGCGAGAGGAACCTGATCTGAGTCACGGCACCAATGAAAGACAGTGGCGCACAGTGAGACTCAACTCCCAATAAGGTAAAGAGATTTAATGGGTCGAACGCGATGGCTACAGGACCTGAGGGTAAGGCTGTAGCACTGAAGCAAGGGCGCTCCAGCCTTTATGGGGGCTTAGGGCGACCTGTCAGCCAATTATTGGTTGACTGGCAGAGCTCCATCCAGGTAGATGGGTTTTTCGTGGATGCGGGAATGGGTGCGGAGGGAGAACAAAGGAAGGCACCAAGGAAGAACAAAGGAAGGCACAGTTTCAATCATCATTTTAGTTTGCCAGGTTGCCATTTCCAGGAAAGGGAGGGGATGTGGCTTTACTTGTGGCTTGGCGGTGGCGCTTCACCACGCTGAGCTGATTTTTTGATTTATTGTAGAGATGAGGTCTTGCTGCCCAGGTGGGTCTCGAATCCGCGGGCTCAGGCAATCCACTCACCTCAGCCTCCCAA